TTTCTTTCTTCCTCCATCCTCTCTCTCTCTCTCTTTTTCCAAGACTAACTCTTCATTTGCATCCTTGATGCAATTCCCCTTTTATCTGCAGGGACCTGATTTACAAGAACAGGAGCCATATCTGTCTCATCCCCAGCTTCCAGAACAGTGAGTGCCCAGCACATGGTAGATATTAAAAGACAGGCACAGAATGCTTTATTAAGGAATTATTCTTCCTGTTGCCCTTACAGTTTCTCCCCACTTCCTCTACATTGGGTTCTTCTGTAAGTCTACAAATACCTTTAAGTCTTTTCAAAGGACAAAAAATAAATAAAAATACATCCATACAACCTTTCTCTTGACTCTGTCTTTCCAAGCTACTGGCTATGTCTTTCTATCACCAGGCTCCTTTTAAGTTGCATCTGCACCACTAACTTCACTACTTTGAAATATGGTTTTCTCTCAAAAGTGCCTTCTCAAAATTACCACTTACTTTCTCGACCTTTTTCTCATTCCTCATCTTCTTTGTTGCTCCTTCTACATCATTTTACACAAAGGAATACCCACTGCTTTTTAGAACTCTTCTCTAGGAGGCCTTCCGTGATTCCCTTAAAGACAGGTTATATGTACCTTTATTTCCTGTAGATGGTCACAGCACTTATCATGCTGTTTGTAAATGTCTGCTTATTTGTCAGCATCCTGGACTACACTAAAAATCTTTTAAAGACAGGTGTTATGTCTTCTTAATCAATATATTCCCACCATCTGGCACTATGCTCAATAAATATTTGTTGAATACTCAAATGAATATTGTCATCAGATCAATACCTAAGAGTTCTAGGAACACTGGTAAACAGGAGTGTTGGTTAAAATAAGTATGACAGGCAACACTCTAAGAGAAAAGGGCAAGTAAAAGTAGTATGAGGGGCTACGGACAATCAGAAAGCAGCATAAAGATATGAATGAGTTATCTCATGTATCCACTCATTCATTCACTTGGTATTTACTGTGGGCAAGGCAATTAGAGGAGAAACAGAAAGACACTAAAGATATTGTACCTATTCTCATGGATCTATCTTACAATCAAGGGCTGAGAGTCTGGAAGTGGTAAGAACTGGTAGAAAATAGGAGTAAGATGGGCCAGCCGAGTGGCACGATGGTTAAGAACTGGCTTGGGATGCCGGAGGGCCCCGGGTTCGGATCCCACATATGAGGGCCAGTGACACTGCCCTCTACAGCTAAGATGCTGAACAACAGCTCAACCTGGAGCTGGGCTGTCCGTGAGTTGCCAGCGTAGGCTGCAGCCCCTGTGGCAGTGGGTTGCCATGGGCTACCGTGTGCAGCCAGCAGCCAGCATGAGCGGCCAGCAGCCGCAGTGAGCGGCAGTCCAGAAGCCGGCGACTGATCTGCCTCGCCGGGGAAGAGCGCAATGATGGTGCCAACTTGGGCCAGTGAAGCGTCCTCCACAACTAGACTGAAGAACAAAACGACAGCAACTTGTCTGTTCCCCTTCCCCCAATTCCCCAGCGCTGTTTCCATTCCCCCAATTCCCCAATAAAAATCTTTAAAAAAAAAGAAAAAGAAAATAGGAGTAAGATACTTTGCCATTAAATAGCAATTCCGAATCTAATATTAAAATATCAGGACAAGTTTGAAAGACTAAAAATCAGCTTCTTCTGGTCCACTCACCTTTGCAATCTAGATTTACAAGCAGCAGTTCTCAAACTTTAGTGTGCATAAGGAACACCTGGGGATCTTGTAAAAGATGGAGACAAATCTCCTAGATCCTTATTCTGTGGGTCCTGGAATGTGCATTTTTAATAAGTACCCCAGGGGATTATGATGCTTTTGGTATAGAGAGTATAATAAAGTCCTTAGTTATTCGCATCATGATTTTGTCATATCTGAGTTACACCTATAATACTATTTTCTTTCTAACATTTTATTGGGGAGTTGGGGGAGGGGAACAGCATTGGGGAATCGGGGAAGGGGAACAGACAAGTTGCTGTCTTTTTATTCTTCAGTCTAGTTGTGGAGGATGTCGCTTCACTGGCCCATGTTGGTATCATCACTGCGCTCTTCCCAGGTGAGGCAGTCACTCGCCGGCGATTGGATGGCCACTCATGGCAGCTCACCCCCGCTCACGCTGCCTCCCAGCCACTCCAGTAGCTTTACAGCAGCCCACTGCTGCCCCACTGCAGCCTATGCTGTCACCAGCCGCTCACAGCAGCCCAGCTCCAGGTTGGGCTGTTGTTCACCATCTTAGCTGTAGAGAGCGCAGCATCACTGGCCCTCATGTGGGATCCAAACCGGGGTCCTGCTGCTCAGAGGTAGTGTCCCAAGCCAACTCTTTTATTTTTAAGATTTTTTTTTTAATTGGGGAATTGGGGGGATGGGAACAGTGCTGTGGAATTGAGGAAAGGGAAACAGACAAGTTGCTGTCCTTTTGTTCTTCAGTCTAGTTGTGGAGGACGTTGCTTCACTGGCGCAAGTTGGCACCATCATTGTGCTCTTCCCGGGCGAGCCAGATCAGTCGCCGGCTTCTGGAC